TGCGCTACTCACATTGGATATGTTTATTCCAATTGAGCAACCGGAGTCCCTCACCTTCAGTGCCAAAGGGAAAATTCGGCCATGGAATTCCAAAGGATTTGCACCCTGAGTGTTCCCAGAAACGGTTTACTTGCTGCGCCACAAAAGGGCTGAAGCAGCATAGCAGTGAAAATGGTAGATGTGACCGTGGAGCATCGTTGGACTCTTTTGACTTCTAGACACTTTTTGAACCGGCATCTGTCATACCTCTAGACTCTATATGTACAAATACATATTGTTTCTCTCCAGTGGTTCTGTCTATTTCACAACTTGCCTCTGGAAACACAAGTGCCAAAATGAAACAGTGGCCCGCTAACTGGCTGTCATGCTCACTTGGAGAGGATCTTCAAAGCTTTCTCGCCCATAAGATCGCCCATTCTCTTGGCCTCAGCCTTGTCCTCCGCAGAGATATCATCCCAGTTGGCGTTGGGGGTGTCATCCTTGCAGTAGGCGGCCAAGCAGCGCGAAATGCCAACCTCAGGTGGTAGCACTGGTGGTGGGGTCCCTAGTTAGTTGGAGAGTTTCAGGACCCTGTTGAAAGGTTTCCCAGTGAGCCTCCTCCCCTTAACCCCCCTCATAAGTCCACGAAACGCAGGAGCAATTGAACTCGCCGACGATCCATTTCTCATCCTCAGCCTTGGTTCCTGGCACACAAGGAGTTCAGGATACTTGAGGTTGATGCCTTGTTGAAACAAACACGACTGCTGCAACTCACTCTTGCAAGCGCTCGAAGCAAGGCCCGTCCCCCAAATGAACCTCATGCTCCATGCAATCTTTCTAAAACAACTGGCACCCTTCAACCGCGATGTTTCCCGCGTGGGCCTGGTGGTGAGGCGTTGATGAAGTCAGTAGTCCACCAAAGTGGCAAAGGTTCTTCGGCCAAGTCAAGCGAGGGCATGACGTGGGGCAGGTCCTGAACGCCACAAGCCACTAACAAAGCATTTGTTTGTGGAAATGAGGTGACACTTGCTACTTACTGTGTGCTCGATGGCGCTATATAGTTTCTCTCTAAAAATATGCCCGGCCTTTTGCAAGAAATTCTCGGTCAAGCTTTTGAAAAGTGGCTCATCAGGTCCATAAAAGGTGTAGATGGAGCCGGTTCCACCCACAGCCGAGATTCCTCCCTCCTTGGGTTTCTTGTGGATGACTCCGATCAGGGAATCACCAACGAGGTTGTAGCGCAACTCACCTTCCACAATGCGCGGGCAAAAGCGCTGATCCACCAACTGTCCACCAGCTTCCTTGCCACCCTCCAAGTACTTTCCAACGCCCTTGGAGGTCCACGTGCCAGACTTGTCGTTGCGGCCATTCACGCAGAACTCAATAAACTCTGCAACGGTGTGCTCCTTGTGCATGCAAGGGTGATTTTGGTGTTCAGTAAGCCACGTGTTTGCATTGTGTGTGCTCCTCCATACATTCAAGGCAGGAAGGGGGGCTGCAAGCCTGTCATTGCACCAGCAGTGGCTGGGGTCCTCTGCGCCACCTGCTCTTTTCATTCCTCGTTTCTTCTTAGCTTGCAAAGATTGGACTGTGAAGGTCGAAACCTTCTAGTGAGAAGAATTTTCTGCAGCATTCCCAAACTAAGGGAGATCATGAGAGGTCAATGATTTAACAGTGTTTCTTCTGTTCATGAACAATGTTGTTGGCCCGCAACAATCGTTTCACCTCGTTCTACGCTTGGCCATAGGATGTGGGACCGGTGCACTGATGCGTCACGTTATGAACTGAAGATTCTGAAGCACTGAAGCCACTGTTGTGTTTCTGTCAGTTACCCTGTGGGGCGATATGGATTGTGTTTCACAAGTTCAAAGCTTCTGGCGGCTCATCCGGTGTGCTTCCCGTCTTTTCCGTTTGCGTGTCAAACTCGAAGCCTTCCTGATAAGATGGTTCGGGGTCATTCCTGCTTCCGCCTCCCCTGTCAACTGTCAAGCTTAACGCCCTTTGCTTTGTGCTCTCCTGATTGGTTTACGTATGTGTGCGTCTGTGTGTGTGCGCCACCCTCCGTTTCCAGGAGCTTTGCCAGGTTTTTCGTCTTGCAGGGG